GTCTGGGGGCCATGCTTTCTGGGGCTCTCCAGTCCCAGTCAGACCATTAAGTCTGGTCTTCTTACTAGAATTTGTGTTCTGCACCCCACCTTTCTCCTGCTCCATCAGGGACTCTCTGTTGTGGTCCCTGTCAAGGGTGGTCATTGGTGGTAGCCGGGCACCATCTAGTTCCTCTGGTCTCAGGCTGATGAAGTCTCTGGTTTATGTGGCTCTTTCTGTCTCCTGGGTTAATACTTTGTATCTTTGGTGTTCTTCATTCTCCTTTACTCCAGGTGGTTGGGACCAATTGATGCATCTTAGATGGCAGCTTGCAAGCTTTTAAGACCCCAGATGCCACTCACCAAAGTAGGATGCAGAACATTTTCTTAATAAACTTTGTTATGCCAATTGACCTAGATGTCCCCTGAAAGCATGGTCCCCAGACCCCCATCCCTGCTACTCTGTCCCTCAAAGTGTTTGGTTGTACTCAGGAAACTCCTTAGCTTTGGTTTAGTCCAGTTGTGCTGACTTCCCCTGTAGTGTGTGCTGACCTTCCTTTCACATAAGATAATTCTTGTCTACTATCTAGTTAGTGAATAACGCTCTCCCTCCCTTCCCACCCTCGTAACCGTCAAAGAATTTCTCCTGTGTTTAAACCTTTTCTTGAGTTCTTATAATAGTGGTCTTATACAATATTTGTCCTTCTGTGACTAACTTCACTCAGCATAATGCCCTCCAGATTCCTCCATGTTATGCTTCACGGCTTCATCAGTGTTCTTTATCGTCGTGTAGTATTCCATTGTGTGGATATACCATAATTTGTTTATTCATTCGTCCGTTGTTGGGCACCTAGGTTGTTTCCATCTTTTTGCTATTGTGAACAGTGCTGCAATGAACATGGGAGTGCATATATCTACTCGTGTGATGGCTCTTATTTCTCTAGGATATATTCCAAGGAGCGGGATTGCTGGATCGTATGATACTTCTATTTCTAGCTTTTTAAGGAAGCGTCAAATCTATTTCCAAAGTGGTTGTACCATTTTACATTCCCACCAACGGTGTATAAGTGTTCCAGTCTCTCCACAACCTCTCCAGCATTTATTATTTTGTGTTTTTTTGATTAATGCTAGCCTTGCTGGGGTGAGATGATATCTCATTGTAATTTTGATCTGCATTTCTCTAACGGCTAATGATCGTGAGCATTTCTTCATGTGTCTGTTAGCCACCTGATATTTTCTGTTTCTTAATGGCTGAAAGATTACTCGAAGATTGCAGAAACAACAGAATCACCAAAACAGTCCAAGATTTAGGAGAAACAGCACTCATACACATACCCTTCATTTAACTAGAAACTAGATATCAACAGCCTAAGAATGAAGTATAGTTAGATTTCCCAGTGCTTAAGCTTCTACCCATCTTTATCTGTCACCCAGTTTGAGGCCAGTAATATTTTAAATCAATTATATCTGATCTTGAAAACTGTTTTTAAGCTAAATTTCTTATCTATTACTTAGAGAAGAAAAATGAATTGATCTTTTGGAATAATAAGCAAGAGTGGTGGAAACTGGGCAGAGATGATTATTTGCATTTTAGTTGAAGAAATTTGGAAAGATTATGCAACCAGCCCAAGGCTGCAGAGTTTGACAGCAGTGGAAGTAGAACCTGAACCCAAATTTTCTAACACCCTTCATGGGGCTGGGGGAGGAGGGTCCCAAACATAGACAATCATTATGCTATGGATTGAATCGTGTCTCCCCCAAAATATGTGTTGATTCCTGGCTCTCATAACCTGTAGATGTGAACTTGTTTGAAATTAGAGTCGCCTTTCTTTTGTTCTGTTAATTAGATCATACCAGTGTAGGTATGGACCCCAAACCTAATCACTTCTCAGTTATAAAAAGACCAGGATAGACAGAGACACGTGGGGGAAGACAGATGCCACGTGAGGATCACCTACAAGCCAAGGAACACCAAGGAACCAAGGGACGCCTGGGACTGCCAACAGGGAAGGAATCGACATGGCCGAGAGCCTGATTTGGACTTTTAGCCTCCAGAACTGTGAGAAAATAAATTTCTGCTAAAGCCACCCAGTTACGGTGTTTGTGTTACAGCAGCACTAGGCAACTAAGACACATTACTATTTTTACATACAGTTAATTTTGGCACCCAACTAAGAGGCCTTGGTTTGGGGCAGGGGCCCTTCCCCAGCCCACTTATATAGTGGGACATGTGAAGAAGTCCAGGGGCAGCTTTGTGTGGCATTGTAGTCTATGACATGCCATCTGCAGCTTCCTTATTACTTTCGGGCAGCCTCTAGACCTGAACAAAGTAATACACTGTTGGTTTAGTGTCTGGTCCGTTGCATGGGAGATGTCTTGGAGAAATCAAAATATTGGGCCCAATTTTTTACAGAAACATAGGGGTAGCTGCTCAGATAAATGCCTCTGGCTCTCCCGCAGCGCCATCTCCCTAAGAGTGTGCTGAAGTCGGTAAGGGTGTGCAAGGCCACCGTGACTGCCGTCCTGGTTTGAGACCCGGGGGTTAAGGGCACCAGCTCTGGAGGCAGGTGGACCAGCTCTCCTGGCCTGCCTCTGATAGCTACCTGGCATTGGGCAGGGTATTTAACTTCTTTGAATCTCAGTGTCTTCATCAGTAATTATTCCTGCCTCACAGAGTTGCCATAAAGTATACAGAGAGACTTTGTATGTGGTAATTGATACCTGGTCAACATACGCTAGGTTTTATTATTATTAAAAGTACTGATGCTCTTGACTACCTCTCCATGCACTGAGGTCCAAAGTGAGAACGTACGAGAAAAAGGAAAGCCAAAAATGACCCACAGAAATCACAAAAAACGACTAGATTCCAAATGAGAATTTCACAGCACAGAATGCTTTCACAGAACACCATCAAAATGACAGGTAGCATCAGATAATCTAAAACCAACGGAAGAACTATATTTTCTTTTCAGATTTTCATTAGCTAACTTGCTATCCTACTGTGGTTAGTTTTATTTGTAAACTTGGCTAGGCCAGTTGTTTGGTCAAAAACTAGGTGTTGCTGTGAAGGTATTTTTGTAGATGTGAATGGCATCTACATGACTTTCAATAAAAGAGATCGCCCTCAAAAATATGGGTGAGCCCCATCCAAAAAGCTGAAGGCCTTAAGGGCAAAAACTGAAGTTTCCCAGAGAAGAAATTCTGCAAGACTTCGGCTTCAACTCCGGCCTGACTTTCCAGCGTGCTGGGCTCTGCCCTAGGGATTTCAGACCCGCCTGCCCCCACGATCACATGGGTCAATTCCTTAAAACAAATCTCTTTATGTATATACATTATATAGACCTTCTATGTCGATCGTCAGCCTTCAGGGTTGGTGGGCGCTAAGGGAACAGCTACCGCCTCTCAGGAAGAGCGGTTATTTCTGAGCCACTGCTGAGCGGCCCTGTCTTCTCTCACACTGCATCCTCGCCTTAAAACCTCCTGGGTTATTAATATCCTCGTTTACAGCTGCTGGAAGTCCAGGTTATCGTTCTTTTACTCCTCTAATTTTCTCCACATTAACACCCTTTTAGATGCCAGTATCTATTATTTTTAAGCAATATACAGAACCTTAGTCTCATCTTATCGTTCTTCTTTCTGAAATTCAGGATCGATGAGAGAAAATGAGAATCATCCTATGGAAATGGTAATGTTTAATAAATATATTTTCTCAGTATACATTCAAAAAAATGATTTGAGAATGTTTATTTTGGTACTACTAAATTCAGGACTATTTAGTAAAAAAAAACCCTTATGTTCTAAATGTTTCATGAACTGGATTAAAATACATACTGTCATGGATTGAATTATGTCCCCCCAAAAATCTGTGTATATATTTAGCTGGGCCATGATTCCCAGTATTGTATGATTTTCCTATAT